CCTGTGGCACGGGAGCGCGAAGCGCTACCTCTCAGCCACCGGGCGTACTCATTTTATATAGTACGATATTTTATTTTATTCTATAACCGTTGTTGAACAGCCGACCCAGTTTTGGGTTTATGACTAATAATGTTCAACCCCGTAGCCTTGTAATTTTGTACCAATTCAGAAGACAAGGAAACTCATAGATCAGTACCCCCAGAGGTATGATTTGCTATTGGAACATGGAGGACTTTGTGATTTGACAGATTTAACGTGCATTAGTCACCATTTATTACACGGGGAGTCTTTGAATGATGGGGATCAAACCCACGCCCTCTTAGACATGGGCCCAGTGCCCTACCAATCAAGCTATTCCGGCCCTATATAGTACGATATGAAATGTTCTGTAAATTATAGACAATTGTAGTAACATTTTAGACAAAAAACAATAATAATAATAATAATAGAATTAAAAAGATCCGTTCTTTTAATGTTAAGGCTAAATAAAATCGTGCATTAATATTTTTTTAAACTCTGATCTCCAGGCCTTAAACCTTACTTGGTTTAACCTAATTAAACCTTATCTCTTCTCATTTTATATAGTACGATATGGAATGTTCCGTAAATTTTAGCGAATCGTAGAAAACTTTTAGGCAAAAAATAATGATAGTAATAATAGAATCTAAAAGGGCCGTTCTTTTAATGTAAAGGCTTAAGAAAGTCGTGTATTAATATTTTTTTAACTCTTATCTCCAGGCATTGAACCTTACTTGTTTTAACCTAATTAATCCTTACCTCTAGTCATTGTATGTAGTGCGATATGGAATGTTCTGCCACTAGCTCATAATTCCAAGGTCGTCCTACCATTAGGCGACCCTTGGCAACTAGTTTGGGGATCAGAGAAAAAGCGCGGAAAATTCAACTTTAACCCATGTACAAAAATTTTAAGAAAATGCTTTCCAAATATTGTTTTTAATGTTTTTGTTTGTTTTTAATATTTTACCTGTGCGCCTCAAACATATGTTTTTTTCCTGCCATGCGCAGAGAGCTCTTTTTATTGCTTCGTGCATAGCGCGTCCGTTTTTTTTCTTCTTTTTTTTATTTTTTTCTTTTTTTTACACTCTTATTGTTCTAACGGAGTTAAGGTCTTTTGGGATTGCTAAATATTTTGCGACGGCAAAAATGGTTGCTGCCATTCGAAAATTTCGAGTTTTCTGTAGAACTGTAACCGTGAGCGACTCTTTGCCGCTGTTTAAGCTCATACCTCTGGATGTCTGAAATCTCATCTCGATCGGTAGCTGAAATTCCATAAATAAGCTCAGTTTTTTTTTTTATGATCACTTCTCATATTATGTCTCACTCACTCTATTGGAAAATAATTTGAAGTCTAGGGCCGTTGAATTAGGTTGAATCTACAATGAATAGTTCGCATTGCTTAAAATCTTGCTTAAGGAGAAGACAACAAACAAATATAGATACTGTAGAAAGAATAGTTGTATTTATAAAGAATTTAATCAGAAAAAATGAAAATACTTTAAATTTATATAAAGAAATAACTTTATGAGGAAGAAAAAAAGAAGAATTCTTCGAGTTCGAATCCATTGAATATCAAAAATGTCGGTATCTTAAAATATTGATTTCTCAGGAACTATTCGACAGATTTTTCACAAATTTTGTATTTTGCTGTATAAAAATATTTTCTTTAAAATGATATAAAAAATTTTAAACCTTAAAATTCAAAAATTTTTCGACTAATGATAAATAAAATAATAAAAAATTATAAATATTTATGAAAAGTTAATTTTTGCATGGAATTATCTTCGGATAAATAAAATTTAAAACTGTGTATATTTAAATTCGTTTAAAAATTTCCGGAGATTTGGCGAAATACAAAAAAAGTAAAATCTACATTAAGGAGCCAAACTTTGGACCGCTTAAGCAAACTATTGGGACCATATTTACCAGATTGCGGTAACCGTAGAAAAATAGATATGTTGATTCAGAGAAAGGGCGTTTTTGTGTCTAATTTAGTGACTTAATATATCATCTGCTCTAATTAATTAACATATTTGAGGTCACCTTCTTTTTTTTTCCTTCCAGATTCTAATGATACAGGTCACCTCCTGTATCATTAGAACGTGAAGATCTGATCATTAGATCAAAAGTTATTTAGGGTGGTCCGTTTTATATTTTGAGCACTGTACAAATAGCTAAATTATTACTAACAGACCTAGTTCAAATTTACAAAATATTATTCGTAAATTAATTAAAACTCTTAAACTGATTTCAATAAATACGTATGATTTATATCCGTTATTTGTTTTATCAAAAATTTGATCAACTAAATGTTGCAATTCGAAAATTATTAGGTTGATTTTTGCTAAATTATAGATTAATTAAAATAGTTTTATGCAGATATTCAAATATTCATTCCTACATATTCAAATTGTTAGAATTTGTCTTGAAATAAGTTCGGAACCGAAACAAAGCAGTCATAAAATCTTCCTAAAACTATACTTTTACCTACATATTTCATATATTTCCTTTGTTTCTAAATTTAATTTTGCATTGGAGTAAAACCATTTAATTTTCAATTGGAATAATAATACGTCTTTTGAAATTGAAATTATGCGCACAAAAAATTTCAAATTTCACCCGATTTTTAAACAAAATTTAGTTTATACTTTTTATTTTTCATTTTAATAACAGCACGACCCAGTAAACAGTTCCATTTTTAAGTTTCAATTTTTCAATATCAGTTTCGTTTACTTAATATCCTGCATTTTGCGAACGCATTTTAGAAAACTGGTATTTTTAATTAAATGAGTCTTCGATTTTCTTTAAATACACACATTGCGAAAAGTTTCACCCGAAACTAAAAAATCTAATACCTTACCGTTTTCCTCGTGTTTTTTGAATGAATTCTGTTTGTGTCCATTTCGTAATTTTTCCGATTTGGAAAGGAGGATATCTTTCTCTGCCGTATTTTCAATCGATGTTGGCGGCGGAATTTCTGGAATAAAAAGAAAAAAACAGAGCGATATTGAACTATGAAAACAAAATGCAGACGATGAAAGAAAATAACACTGAATAGGAAGGAATCGAAATGGCACCCCTGGGTGAAAATAAGCTGCGATCTGAATATATCCTTAAAAAGAATTCAATATTCCTGAAAGACTGCAAAGGGAAATGGAAACTGCGAAAATGGGCTCAACTTTAGACAGGAAGAAAAAAAACAGACTTAGTCTTAGTTTGTGAAGTAGAATTAATTCAGCTCATTGCTTAAATAATAAGGTACACTATTTTTTAGGTCTCAAACTTTTAACTTGCACTTAAATTAATTCCATCTATGAAGAATGTAATAGATTTTTCCGATTATGTTCTAAGAAACTAACAGTATTAATTGCTTTTTGTAATTGTGTAATTTAAGCTATGTGTATTTTTATTATTAAATTTCAAACTTTTTCGATCGGACTTTTGAGATTATGTATCCTCATTTTTTTTTATTAAAAGTCTAACCGCCTTTAGTAACTACACAATTAAAAATACGTAGATTTTTGTTATTTAATGTCTACTGGTCTTTTATAGTTATGCTATTATTATTTTATAGTTTTATATTTAAAATTATTCTTATTTAGTTGATTGTTTTATTTATTAATTATTTTTTTTTATTTTGTACTTAAAATTTTGTTTAATATGTTTTTCTTTTTAAATGTGCAATTTAAACTCTACAGTCCTTGGCCATATTATTATACGCACTATAAGATTCTATGTAAAATTTTAATTATCATTAGATACTATACAGCTGTATTGTTTTTACACGGATGAAACCGGTTTGCATTTGTTTGGACTCCTGTATCAATTGGTTATCATTGTAATGCAATACGTTAAAAATAAATACAAATAGGTAGTATATAAGTATATAAAAACTCTTCTGAATAAAAATCCACTACATGTATGTTTAAATATAAAAGCATCGCATATAAACTAGTGCGAATAATGCTTCACACAGTGTATCTAATAATTTGATCTACTTATTATAATGTACTAATATAATACCTGATATAATAAATATTCTATATTTATATAATATATCGTCTAATTTATCAAATCGTCAAATTTNTATACAGGACTTGATTATGTTCTAAGAAACTTACACTATTAATTGTTTTTTGTAATTATGTAATTTAAGCTATGTGTATTTTTATTATTAAATTTCAAAATTTTTCAAATGGACTTTTGAGATTATGTAACTAATGCTATTTTCATTTTTTATTTTTTATTAAAAGTCTAACCGCCTTTAGTAACTACGTAATTAAAAATACGTAGATTTTCTTTATTTAATGTCTACTGGTCTTTTATAGTTATGCTAATATTATTTTGTAGTTTTATATTTAAAATTACTCTTATTTATTTGATTGTTTTATTTATTAAAAGTAAATTTTAAAATTTGACTATTGGCTTTTGTTATATATAACCAAAAGTATGTATTCATAATTATAATTTCGTATAAGGTATTTATGTTGTAAAGTATTTAAAGTATTAATTCGTAATTAACTTTGAAATTTCTCCTAATAGACCTTTGTAACTATGCAATTAGAACTACGCGTATTTTTGTTAAATTGTAACGTTAAATTGTTGTTCAATTGTTAATAGTACGGGTATTTTTGTTATTTTGTAAAATTTAGGATAGTTCTTTATAGATTTTTGTAATTTTGTAATTATAACTATGCTTTATTTTGTTATTAAATTTGAAACTTTGACACAATCTGATAATAAATATATGATACCATATAACTTTCGATATAGGCTACCTGGTATGATATTTTTTACTGTTTATTTTAAACTTTGGGATGTGATAGTTCATGATAATTATTGTTATTAATATTTTAACTCTATAAATGAAACATATAAATTAACAACTTCAAAAAATTAAAGAATATATAATTAATAACTTAAAATATTAGTGATTAGCATAAATTTATCGAAGGATTTCCAATTAAGATTCCGCTGTTGAAAATTCTTACCATGTAGTCTTGTAGTATCTTCTGTTCTGCGATAACTTATGATGATTATTTTCATTACTATTTAGCTCAATAAATGAAACATATAAATAAACAACTTCAAAAAATTAAGGAATATATAATTAAGAACTTGAAATATTAGCGATTAGCATAAATTTATCGAAGGATTTCCAATTAAGATTCCGCTGTTGAAAATTCTTACCATGTAGTCTTGTAGTATCTTCTGTTCTGCGATAATTTATGATGATTATTTTCATTACTATTTAACTCAATAAATGAAACATATAAATAAACAACTTCAAAAAATTAAGGAATATATAATTAAGAACTTAAAATATTAGCGATTAGCATAAATTTATCGAAGGATTTCCAATTAAGATTCCGCTGTTGAAAATTCTTACCATGTAGTCTTGTAGTATCTTCTGTTCTGCGATAATTTATGATGATTATTTTCATTACTATTTAACTCAATAAATGAAACATATATATAAACAACTTCAAAAAAATAAGGAATATATAATTAAGAACTTAAAATATTAGCGATTAGCATAAATTTATCGGAGGATTTCCAACTTCAAAAAATTAAGGAATATATAATTAAGAACTTAAAATATTAGCGATTAGCATAAATTTATCGGAGGATTTCCAATTAAGATTCCAAAGTTGAAAATTCTTACCATATAGTCTTATAGTTCCTTCTGTTCTGTGATAATTTATAATAATAATTATTATTAATATTTAACTCAATAAATGAAACATATAAATTAACAACTAATAAAAATTAAAGAATATGTAATTAATGACTTAAAATATTAACGATAAGCATAAACTTATGGATGGATATCCAATTAAGATTCCACTGTTGCAATTTCTTACCATAGAGTCTTATAGTCCCTTCCGTTTCCCCAAGAGAGTTTTTGGCGACGCAAGTATAAGATCCGTAGTCATCTGGTTCTAAATTGTGAATGTAGAGTTTCAGTTGGAATTTGTACAACACACCCGGCTGAACTTCTGTTTTGTACTTGTTATTAGTGAGCACCATAATTCCACCTTCTTTTATCCAATATGTCACAGATTTGGGATGGGATTCCAAGTTGCACTGAAGCAATATGTTGGTGGAAAGAGGAGCTCCAACAAGTTGATTAGGAATCCAAATCATTGGTGTAACTACAGAGATTAAAATTAAACTGTTCAGTTTGATTCAATAGTTTATTAATAATTTTATAGTAATTACCAATTATACTCTAAAATTATTTTAAGAAGTTATTTAGTAGCTATGGAAACGGTAACAATCGAAACACTATATGCATTTCATACTTTAAAAATGTGACCTTTTTCTTAAAATCTCTAAAGATTGAAACGGCATAATCTGTTATTTACAGTATTATTCACAACTATTGAAAGTGAAAAAAAAGGAAAGCGTTTTTATTCAATTTTTATCTTGGATAAATATTAGTAAAAATTATCTTCATTGGATAGTTTCAGTTATGTACAAAATATTTCATCCAATATGTCACATATTTGGGATGGGATTCCAAGTTCCACGGGAGCATTATGTTGGTGGAAAGAGGAGCTTCAACAAGTTGGTTAGGAATCCAAATCATAGGTGTAACTACAGAGATTAAAATTAAACT